GGACAAACTGATGGCATAAAATGTAAGTACAACTCCTCCGGTTTCATATGCAAAACAAAATATTGCGCTAGCTTACACGGTTCAGGTTCTACAGGGATTTAAAAATAGTTACGCAAAACAGAGCATGCTGCTCTGACCGGCTTTAAAGGGTTAACAATGACTTTAAAAAAAATAATATAAAATAGTGTGCAACACCACTGAAGTTTTTTTTTTTTTTAAACTCTCTTTTCAACCAACGGCAGTCACTCTCCAAATAACTTCTGCTTAGCTTTCCGAGCTTCCCTCGGGTCCTCTTAATCAGCGGTCTCCAACCTTTTTTGCGCCACGGACCGGTTTATGCCCGACAATATTTTCACGGACCGGCCTTTAAGGTGTCGCGGATAAATTAGGGAGGGGCTAATAATCGGCTCAGTCATTTTTAATGATCGTTGAAAGCCCAGATCGTAATCGTGATTAAAATTCGATTAATTGAGCAGCCCTACCCAGATACCCACTTCTACAATAACACCAATAATACTTGTTAGTACTATACAGATGACCAATTCAATATAAATATTAAAATGGCAAATGCATTGTCGGTCAAACATTTCAATAGTAGAAGCCTGTATAAAAAAATTTCTAAAATTACAGAATGTTTAAGTAAGTTAAAAAAGTTTAATATAATTGCAATATCAGAAACATGGCTCGATAATGAGAAAGTTAGTGAAATGGGACTGGAAGGATACGAATTATTTACAATGAACAGGGTGAATAAAAAAGGAGGCAGTGTTGCTTTATATGTAGATAAAGTTTTGAAATGTAGTCTGATTGAATGTATGTCAAGCACCATAGATAACGTATTGGAATGTGTCACTATTGAAATCCATGTTGAAAAAGCTAACAATATAATTATAAGTTGCATCTATAGGACACCAGGTTCATGCCTTGAGATATTCAATGAAAAACTTGCTGCTATGTTTAGCAACCTAAATGATAAAAAAGTGCAAATAATTTGTGGTGATTTTAATATAGATTTGCTAAACCCAAATGGACATCAGAAAACAACAGATTTCATAAATACAATGTATAGTAACTCCCTTTTCCCTGTAATTATAAAACCAAGTAGAATAACAATTGATACAGCTACATTGATAGATAATATATTCACAAATAAAATTGACCATGAAATAGTAGGTGGACTTCTTATAACTGATATAAGCGATCATCTTCCTGTTTTTGCAATTTTTCAAAATTATTTTGGGATTAAAACGAAACAAAAGAATCAAATATTTGATATGATACGACATAGAGCAACAAGAGCCATTGCTGCCCTCCAGGTGGACTTAAAGGAACACAGTTGGAATGAGGTTTTTGCAAATGAAGATTCAAATAGTGCATATGATGCATTCTTATCAACAGTAATTTCACTATATGAAAAACATTGTCCTTTATTGAAGATCACTAGAAAGCATCACAGATCAAATAAGCCATGGATCACAAAGGGGATAGAAGATGCATGTAAAAAGAAAAATAATCTATATAAGAGATTCATAAAACAGAGGACAAAAGATGCTGAAATAAAGTACAAGTTATATAAAAATAGATTAGTAAATATTATAAGAACAAGTAAGAAAGAATATTACCACAAATTATTGGAGCAAAGTAGAAGTAACACACAAGAAACATGGAGGATATTAAACAGTATAATCAAAAAGGGCTCAAAATATAAGAATTATCCAGACTAAAAAAGATAAAGATAGTGTGCTTGATAAAACTAAAGACATTTCAAATGAATTTAATGATTTCTTTGTAAATGTTGGCTATAATTTAGCAAAAGAAATTCCAGAGTCAAGAAATAATAACGACCTAAATAAACATATTACTCAGAATGTGTCCTCCATGTTTATTGGTGCTGCAACTCATAGAGAAATAATTAACATTGTGAAGACATTTAAAAATAAAAAGTCTACTGACTGTTTTGGTATTGACATGATATTAGTTAAAAGTATTATAGAATATATAGTGCAACCTTTCGCATACATTTGTAATCTGTCCTTTCAAACTGGTGTGTTTCCCTCACAAATGAAAATAGCAAAAGTTATTCCAATCCATAAAAACGGAGAGAGATGTCAGTTTACCAATTATAGGCCAATATCACTACTCCCACAGTTCTCAAAAATTTTAGAAAAGTTATTTGTTAATAGACTTGATAAATATATTGAGAAGCATAATCTCCTAAGTGATAACCAATATGGCTTTAGAGTGAAAAGGTCCACTTTGATGGCAGTGATGGAACTTGTTGAAGGGATATCGAATGCTATAGATAATAAGGAATATACTGTTGGTGTTTTTATAGACTTAAAAAAGGCGTTTGATACAATTGATCATTCTATATTAATAAATAAACTAGAGAGATATGGCATAAGAGGGATAGCATACAAGTGGATGAAAAGTTACCTGGATGAAAGATATCAATATGTCGAATTCAATAATGTAAAATCTAAGCAGTTGAAGGTAACTTGTGGTGTTCCTCAGGGCTCTGTGCTGGGCCCTAAATTATTTATATTATATATAAATGACATATGTAGCATTTCCAAACTGTTAAAATGTGTATTGTTTGCTGATGATACCACTCTGTACTGCTCAGGTAAAAACCTAGAACAGCTTCTGACTACAGCGGAAAAGGAGTTAAATATATTTAAAAAACTGGTTTGATGTAAATAAGTTATCATTAAATATAAAGAAAACAAAAGTGATTATTTTTGGCACTAGACAAATGAAAAATGTATCTAAAATAAGGGTTAATGGAATTGGAATTGAAAGAGTGTACGAAAATAAATTCCTTGGAGTGATAATTGATGATAAGCTGAGTTGGAAGTCTCATATAAACCACGTGAAAACAAAAATGTCAAAAACCATTGCTATTCTCTATAAAACAAAGCATGTCCTGAACAAAAAATCATTATACACACTTTATTGTTCTCTGTTGCTTCCATATATGACTTACTGTCTGGAGATATGGGGTAATGCATATAAAACGAACACTCTTCCTATTTTCAAGTTACAAAAAAGAGCTATAAGAATTATAAACCAATCAAACTATATAGAACCAACTAACATTTTGTTTAATAATCTGAATACCCTGAAATTTTATGATTTAGTTGAATATAAAATGGCACAGATAATGTATAAAGCACAAAATAACTTGCTTTGCCCCAGTACTCAGAAGCTGTTCAAAGTCAGAGAAAGTCAATATGACTTAAGGGGAACAGATTTCTTTAAAAAAAAAAACAAGATGAAGACAAATATAAAGCAGAGATGTGTTTCTGTTAGAGGAGTTAACCTGTGGAATAGTTATGACAGTGATTTAAAAAGGTGTAGTTCATTTTACTTGTTTAAAAATAGAGTATTAGAAAAATATATAAATCAAGAATGAAAAGAGCGAAAAAAAAAAGTTTTTAAAACACATTTAATATCTCTTGACCTTTTGAAGGGGTCTGGATCCCTAGTTTGGTTCCACTGAGTGTTGACAAACTTCTGTTCAGGTTTGTAGCCACCAGTTTTTGAACACCTGTTTTTTAAGCCTTAAGTTTTGACACTAGACATGGATCTAACTTTGAAACCATATGGTTACTGATTGATGAGTTGTAATTGATAAGCCAGACCACAAGATATTTACTGAGAGCTTAATAATGTATGGTTTGTTATCTCACAGTGCATAACCTTGGAGGATTACAACCACGACTACAAACACTTCAAGCTGGCAAAGTTGGCTAGTGGCAGGATTGCAAGGATACCAGAGGCACTAAAAGGAACGTTTACAAGGTGGGGACTAAGACCTGCTGTGATGTATGGTTTGGAGACAGTGGCACTGCCAGGAAGCAGAGCTGAGGATGTAAGATTCCCATCAGAAGGGACAAGAATGACAGACATGAACCGGTCCCTAGGGCTGCGAGAGTGGGGCCTTATCCACTTGACCTTAAATTAGTATCGTGATTCTCAGTCCCTCCAAGTTTGCTCCAAAACGCAGGGTTGGTTGGAGGAAGGGTTGAAGCAATCACTGAAGACCTCACGGGATTCAAAGTAGCATCATTTCAAAAAGCTCCCACGGAGAAATGTGCTGACACACTAGCAAAAAGATTTATTTGTCAGTTATGTCAAAATAATTTTACATTGTGGACACATACAGCCCACTTTGACTTTAAGTGGGCCAGACCTGTGATTTTAAGGTTTTGTTCCTGATAACCAAAAAGAAATGAATGGGAGCAAATTACATTTTGTGAGCACCAGCCTTGCTTCTAGACTCACTATAATAGGGAGCTAATTAGTAGCCCTTTGACTTGTTCTCTTGGCAGGCGTGAATAATGACACGAATAAAGGCGTACCAGGTTACAGCTGTGCTTTTCCTGCTTCCATATGTCAGACTGTCGTAATAAAAAAGTCTATTGTGCAGGCTAAGTGCGAGACACGAGTCATATTTATAACCCTGACGTCCATATATCTACTCACTCGTAATTAAGCTTAACAAGATGTGAAACTAACTATAGAATCCATGTGTGAGGTCATTTGATTAATGCGCCCCATTAATTAACCCTGGCACAGTGTGAAGCAGATATGGAAAAAAAGAAAGGAAAAAATACTGCACTCCAATTTTTTGTCTTCACATCTGTGAAGCTTTAGTGGAAAATATCCCACAAGGCAACATGAAAAGAGTAGTTTTCTTCTCTGGAGTGTTTTTATTTTCTTCTTGGATTTGGTGGAACTTAAGTTGCATTGAGAATGTGCAAATTTGCAAACAAATCACAAAATCAGATGAAACAGATGAAGAGATTTTTACACAGAAAATGATTTCCCTCCATCAACACATGCATTATTTATAAGCTCTCAGATCCACACTCTCACTGACGGCCTTATCCGAACAGTAGCTTTACTCTGACTCGTGGATATTGTAAAAGTCGATTTGCACCGAAGTTATTTGTCTGGAGGATTTATGTGACACATAAGCAAACCGACTTTATACATGTGGCTTCAGTAAAACTTTAATGTTACATCAAAATAAAAGAGCACTTTAGGTTTGACAATTAGTGTATTTACATTTAAAAAAAAATTTTTTAGTCATAAACATGAGTACCAGGTAAAAAACATCTTCCTGTTTTCCCTTTACAACACGTTGAGGACGACTGCAGTCTGGTGCTCCAGCAGGGAGTAGCGGTTCTGCTCCTCAGCAACAACCTTAATGGATGCCCCTTGACTGGGTGAGCGGCTGGAGAAGCCGGGTGGAGAGGAACCGCTTGGGTTCCTCTGTTCCCGAGTTGCGTTGGGGAGAGCGGGACTGCGCCGCCGGCCGTCCAGACCCAGATGTGTGCTGATCTGAGACGAACGAAGGCTCCTCATTTGGCCTCTAGCACGCATCTCATAGAGCTCCACTGAGGTTTTCTTGTACCTGGAGGAAATACGGGGTGATTAATTTCACTACTAAACTCAAGCGCGAGTGAAAACAGACCAGGTATGCGGGAGAAAGGAAAACATAAGCTTCATATCACATAAAGTTTATTGTGTTCATCTGGACGCTGAGATTTCAGACAGATAAAGGCTTTTAGTCTGAGCTGACTGCAAGTTTCCCCACTGTATCAACAGTATATTTACATAATTAATGATACTGGCACCACTGACTAACTAACAATGGGCTGTGAGGTCAGTGTGAGGTCAGTTTCATGATCATGATTACCCCAACTGGTTGCAGCAGATGGCTGCCCCTCCCTGAGCACGGTTCTGCTGGAGGTTTTCTTCCTGTTAAAAGGGAGTTTTTCCTTCCCACTGTCGCCAAAGTGCTTGCTCATAGGGGGTCATTTGATTATTGGGTTTTTCTCTGTATGTAATATTGTAGGGTCTACCTTAAAATATAAAGCGCCTTGAGGTGACTGTTGTGTGATTTTGCATTATATAAATAAAAACAAATTAAATCATTGAAATGCAGATTTTCCTTGTCTAGTATGGGGTGAACCTGTGACCTCGGCATTATTAGCACCACACTCTAACCATCTGAGCCAACCGGCTGGAATCCCTATGAGTAAAAATGTCCTAAGAAAATGTCCCCCATGCCATTACACCACCACTCCCAAGATCAATTGTTGATATAAAGCAGGATGAATTCATTTATTCATACTGTTTTCGTCAGATTCTAAACTGAAATAGACTCATCCGACCATGGAATATGTTTCCAGATATCTATTGTCCAATTTTGGTGAGCCCCTGTGATCAGTGTTGCCAACTCCTCAGTAAGGAAAATTGCTATTGGCTGTCCTAAAAGTCGCTAGAAGTCGCTAAATGACATCATCGCCTAATTTCCATAATTGGTCATGCTAATCTAATTGTAACCTATGTTGTTGGAGAGAGAAATAACATCGTGGAAGAGACATAAAGTGAGTAAAAAAACGTCCTAAATGCATTTAGAGTTTATTTAGAACTAAAAATCAAATTTCTTTTAGCAATTATTGTTTTTTTTTAATGTCACTATTCCAACCCTGCTCCTTTACCCGGGCTTGGACCGGCAAAAGTGACCCGAAATAGGCACTCTGGTGGAGTTACTTTGTGTGTGTGTGTTTATAAGTAGTTTTAAACCTTGTGATCCACAAAACAGCATAAGAGTAAAAGAGTAAAAGAACTGACTGCGTTACAGCACCCGCTGCTTGTTGAGAGTAAAAGCGATACGCGCTTTCACGTCTTTTTTTTAGTAAGGGGTCTGAAAACTCGCTAAATATAGCGACAAAGTCGCTAAGTTGGCAACACTGCCTGTGATGCACGATGTATCATCTTAATTTCCCTCACAGGGGTCATTCAGGCACCACCAACAGGTCTGATTTAAATTGTGGCTGCTTTGTCCTGCTGTTTCCTCCCTAATCTTTAATATAAGTGTAGATAATGTAAACGCAGAAGGACTCACATTTTCAGCAGTAAAGAAGACAGGACCACTGAAACTGATGAGGCGGCCATTGCAGCTGAGCCCATCCAGGGTTGGAGCACCAGGCCAACGGGCATGAACACACCTACGACCAACAGTTCACATTTGAGAAAGAGGCACCTCAATGTCATCCACAATGTGCCAGGATAAGAATAATTTCTGATTTCATTTTGGATTTTGGTTTCCCAAAATATCGAGCTTGCACGTTCACCTTGACTAGAGTCCGTTATTGGTTCAGGATTTTACTGTAGCTCTCACCTGCAGCAATTGGTATTCCAACAAGATTGTAGAAGAGAGCAAAGACAAAGTTGATCCTTATCCGACGCACCGTCTTCTTGGACAGCTCGATGCTGGCCACCACATCTAGCAGGTCATTCTGCAGAGCGCGAAAAGCTTCAAGTGAGACAGTTTAAACGAGCCAATGTATCTGCACACAGACTATCTGCCACCTACTCGGATCAAGACAATGTCAGCCGCCTCAATAGCCACATCGGTGCCTGTCCCGATTGCGATGCCGACGTCGGCACGGGCGAGGGCGGGGGAGTCGTTCACGCCATCTCCCACCATGGCCACCCTCAGGCCTCGTTTCTGCAGCTCCTGGACTTTTGCCACCTTGTGTGATGGCAGCACTTCTGCAAATACCTTTCTGATCCCCACCTGCAGCCAATCAAACGCTTTGATTACATGTTAAACATTCAGGTAGATTTTAAGAGTGTGCAAGTGTTACCTGTGCTGCTATGGCTTTAGCTGTGCGCCTGTTGTCTCCCGTCATCATCACCACCTCAATGCCCATAGTGTTCAGTGTATGCACTGCTAATGCTGACTCTGCTTTCACCGTGTCTGCGATGGCTAACATTGCACACAAAACACCTACACACACACACACACACACACACACACACACACACACACACACACACACACACACACACACACACACACACACACACACACAAACAGCATAAGATGAAGTTTAAATGTGGCACCAAAGCCACAAAGAAAACCTTGATTTCCCTCACCATCTATAGCCACCAGTATGGCTGTCTGCCCTTTGGTTTCGTGGCTCGACATCGCGGCATCCACATCTGCTCCTATGTGGTGGCCATTCCTCCTCATCCACTCTCTGTTTCCAATCAGGACAGAATAAAACAGCCCTTCAGCTGGAAATAGAAGAATGTGATTAAAAACAATGACTGCTTACAGTTACACCTCACTAGCACCAGGTTGGACGCTCTTTGCCTTCAGAACTGCCGTGATTCTTCATGGCATAGATTCAACAAGTTTCTGAATGGTACTCTTTGTGGTCATCTGCTGCTTTTGAGATGGTCTTCTGCATACCTTGGTTGTAACGAGTGATTATTTGAGTTACTGTTGCCTTTGTCTAACTAAGTGAATAATTTCCCCTTTTCAGACCATTCTCTGTAAACCTTAAATATGGTGATGTGGGAAATATCTGAAAACTCAGACCAAAAATCATGCCACGTTCAAAGTCACTTAATCACTTCCAAACTCTGATGCTCAATTTGAACTTCAGCAGGTCACTTGTTAACATCGGTGCCAACTGAACATGCATAGCTTGAAAAAACAAAACAAAAAAGCTAGCCAGTGTCTGGGCTCTACAAAGAACTCTTCGTTGTGATTCTGTGGCCAGTATGGGGCTTGAACCCATGACCTTGGCGTTATTAGCACCACGCTCTGACGATCTGAGCTAACTGGCCTACACAGCGGTTTCCTGAGGGGTTTAACACTGTCTATTAATTTTAATTAATAGACAAATGCTTCACTACTATAACTTCAATAGAATATTCTGGTATCTGTACTTGAGTAGTTTTTTTCTGACAACTTTACTCCCTACATTTAAAAATATATATCTGTACTTTATACTCCTTACGTTTTCAAAAGGGGTCCATGAATTTATACTCGGGGTGAAACATTTCTTTAAGTGACCGGTTATTACAAATTACCTAACAACTATACACTGTGTAAGATAAAGACAGTATAAACAGTATAGTGTCAGTGTAGAGGATGGACATTAGCCATGATAGCTGTGAAACATCTGCTGAACATCTTGTTGAATTCAGTTATGTGCATCTGCAAAGAGCAGCAGGTCAGTTGATTACAGCCTGTACACTAAGAAAATCTACTGAAGCTCATATTAGAAATTATTGTGAGTTGTGATTCTATTCCCCACACTGAGCCACTACAACCAATTTCAGGTTTCCCCACCTGCTAAATCCCGGTGCAATCCTTGACTGTTCTCATTTTCCTGTTTATGTGTGGAGCCAAAGGCACCCTCTACAATGTAGGCAACAGAAAAAAGTTTTGTTTTTTCATTCACTTTCACTGCAGGGGACCTACATAACAGATCACACTGAGTATATTCATTTAAATTCAAATAATTTTTGAATTCTTGTGTACTAATGTTATTTTATTATTATATTAACACAGCACATGGTTCAGTTACCTCTGTACAAAAGTGGTTAATAGACTACTTTTTACTTTTAGTACATTTCAGAGCCTGTACTTTTATACTTTTACTTGAGTAATAAAGTTGCTTTAGTACTTCAACTTTTACTGGAGTATTTTTAACCCAGGTATTTGTACTTCTACTTAACTAAAAAATCTGTACTTTTGCCACCTCTGCTTTGAATAAAGTTTACAGTTACAGTTTTTTTCTGACCTGCAGAGGTGGACTCTCCTGCAGCAGCATGCTGCTTTCTTCAATAGTAGCCCCCGGCAGCAGGAATCGCTCCTCGCTCGGCTGCAGCAGCAGATGTTCCACGCTGGACACCCGGCAGCTGATCCCACAGCCGGACACGGCCTGGAAGTCCTGGCAGCACCCGAGGACATCGGAGCCCAGCTCCTGTCAGAAAGTTGATAGAAAGTCAGTAAAGTTTTTCTCCTGAACAAAAAGGCAGGCATAAATAGACCTCTCACCTGTTTGCAGTATTTGGCAACTGCTATGCCTAGCGGGTGCTCGCTGCTGGCCTCGGCGGTACCCACCACTGCCAGGATCTTCCTCAGGGCATGCGGGCCACTTCCCACAACACCAGGACTCGAGTCACCCGCGGCACGCCGTTTGTAATAGTGCCAGTTTTATCAAACATCACCACACTGATCTGATTGAGACACATAGAGGTCAGTGTCAGGTTTAAAAGGGTTTCTAAGAGGTGCCTTATTACACTCTGAGCACTGCACTCTAAACATTCCTTCTCAAGATCACTTGATATTATTATTTATTCGATTTTTATAATGTATTTATTTACTTGTTTTTTTATTTATAACATATTTGATCTCTGGTTGGAGGGGCCCATTTCTGCCTCAGGTCCCAACAGATGCTAGAATCGCCCCTGGCTGTAATCAAGCAGCAATGCCACATGGTGTCACCAGTTAATTAGAATAGAGGCCGACGCAAATATTAAAGTGAAATGTTACATTTCTGTGGTTGTTCCAGCTCTTTTCTCTTTCATTTATTCGCTCATTACAGACATATTTTCTTTCTACCCGCTTCAGTGTTTCGGCAGTTTTTAAAAAAAGCATTAAATGAATCGTAAGGGTCTCGCCTTATGTGCCATCTCCAGCGGCTCGCCTCCTTTAATGAGGATGCCGTTCTGAGCGCCGACCCCCGTGCCAACCATGACCGCCGTCGGAGTTGCCAGCCCCAGAGAGCAGGGGCAGGCGATGGAGAGAACGGTGATGGACGCCTGGAAGGCGAAGCGGATGATGACCTCTGCCTTGGAGATGCTCTGGTTGTAACCCTTTGAGGAGGAGAGTGGTGTGATCAGGCTACAGCTTTTTATTCACACACAAGTCGTCTGCATGCACACTTACCGGGAAGTTCTCCTTCACAATGTCGAAGTTGACAAAGCCAATGGCCAGCCACACTATCAGTGTTAACAGGGACACGATAACAATGAAGGGCACGAAGTAGCCACTGAGTCTATCTGCAAACTGCTGGATGGGGCCTGAGGAGGAGAAGGGAAAGCAAAATTAGGAGTGTCCTGTACATTAAGAACAGTGAGTGACCTTTAAAGGCAACAAGTGGCCAGTATGGGGTTGAACTCATGACCTTGACATTATTAGCAACACAGTCTAATCGGCTGAGCTAATTGGGCAACTGGAAGACAAAGCAAAACGTCTAAATGTGGAAAAGTCTAAATGACAAAGGAATCCAAAATTTTTATCCTTACTTATTCACGCAGAACCAGGGGCAAAATACAACATAGTTTAGTGTTAACAGTCTCTTTTGTGAACACTCTTTTGAGTGTTGTCTGCACACCTCGGTAGCAGTATATCATAACTAGTAAAAACTCAGCAACAAGAACTTTTCAACCATGCAGGACTTCCAGCCCTCCAAGAGCAGGTTCTTTATGGAACTTTATGCATTTGCCATGCTGTCCACATGACAGCCAATCGTATTACAGTAAATTTATCACTGTTAGACAACCATACGAACTGAAACGTGACCTTGGTTTCTTGGTTCATCTCTTGAGTTGGGAGCTTGCTTGAATGATTCATAGTAGAGTGTTAAGTGCTTAAACAAACAAAAATAATAAATTA